ACGTAATCAACACAGTTTGTAACCAGTCTCTACATTGAAAGTGCCGAAACGGTTTTTAGACCCTGAGGGACAATCGACAGTTGCGCTGCCACGGTTTGTTAATGGCATTCGTGAATCCTGAAAAAGAAGACTCACCAGCGATGACTCCGTAGGAAATGAGCATCAGTTCAATGGTGGGCATAAAAGCACTGGCGAACATTGAAACTGTGGCCAAAAGGGAGCCAGCGACTCCAACTGCACGACATCCAAATTTGTTCACCAAACCTGCAGCCACGGGTCCTGGAACATAAAAAAAAACAAATAGCCAATTCTTGCTCACACAAAATGCAAATAAATTTCCCCACAAGGCTTTCCTGCTACTACTGACCGACACTGAGAATCTGTGAGGCTTTGAAACGAGAAAAATGGATAAGGCAAAGCTGCAAAGGCACTTCACTAGGCATCAAGACTCGTCGATAATTCGTCGTCATAAAGATCCCTGTACGCCTTAATAACGGTCATAAAAAACACACGAGAATGATGATTTCTTACTGTTCGAGCGAGCAACCTCTATATTTGCACGAAATTACTGACAAGTAGGGTCAGGAAGAGGTAGTTTGTGTGTCTGCTGTAAATGCTTTGCATCTCAAGAACTTGAAAAGAACTGCTAATATTCGGCCGGACACCGAAACAACGATAACTCTAGGGGCATTCTGACAGCAAGCTCATCAATGCAAAGGACGCAGTTAGCGGAAAGAACGCGAAATTCAAATTCGTAGTGCATACAAATGTATTAGTAATTAATTAGGAATAAGTTGTAAATCGAGGATGGTTATCAGATCTTGAAAGGAACAACAATGGAATTCGTTAGAAACGCAGTCGAACCATAGTATTTTTCGGTAGTAGAAGAACCCATCACCATTGCCTGATAAGGTCTGTTGATGTGTACCGAAAACTTAAGCCCTATTTAATTTCAAACTTTTAACGCTACAGCCATGTCATCTTGCATATACTGGACGACGGATCTTGCGTAGTTTGAGCATATTGCTCGAGTGTTATGTTGGTGACGGTTCACTCAATGCACAATAAGTTGGCGAAGTTTGTCTAGAGACATTCAGGAGGCGATTCGCCTCGAGTTTTCAGACCTAAAGTCAAAACCGTCGAAATCCGCTTGTGGAGGGAAAGGTATCCACTATCTGCGATTGTGACAAAAGTATTCCTTGTCAAGACATAGAAGACCCACATGACACTTCCTCGAAATCAAACTCAACTATCATCGAACTGTTCGAGTTAGGATGGCAATAAATCTGTCTCTCTTTCTCTCAAACAGTACAACTAATCTCTCAATTTCTCCCTGCAATAATTCTTTGGTTAAGGCATGCCCAATATTTGCTGGTGCTGCTGTTGGATTCTTGCTACGCCTTCTACACATTTACTAAAGCATTTTTTTAAACGCTCTGCTTAAGCACTGTACGTTACTGTACCTGAGTAGCGCAACTACTAGCGATTCTTAACGTTCGACTTGCTTCGTCTCTTTGGTGCACCATCCAAGTTAGTGAAAACGACTCTCATCGGTCTGGCCGAATTCACGATGTACCTAACCGTGTGCTTCTCAGCAAATCAAAGGTGCGTTAAGACTTGCCGA